GGGCATGTTTCTTTATAGTCCTCTGCCATGTGATGTGATTTCACAGGACCTGGGAAGACACTCCACCACCACTGTCATTCCTTTGAGTTAAGTGTGTGTCCCTGCTGAGATGTAACTGTATCCTGAGATACAGGAGGCTGAATGCAATAATTTCCTATTAGTCACTCACATTCTAGTACGAATCAGTACAGGTTCCTTTCCTTGCCTATCACATAGGTGAGAGGAGTTTTAGCTGGAATATGCACCTAGAGCAGTATTTCTCAACTGTGATTCCCACACATAATGAGCCAGAATTGCCTGGGACTATCTGTAAAAAAGAGATGCCTGGCAGTCTTCTCGTTTGCAAACTTGCCTCAAGCCTGTCCCATACTCCTATTTCCAGGGTGAAACAGTCCCATCAGAAACAGATAGAAATCATAACCCGAGGAGGTTTAAGACTTTCAAACTGAAATGTTAATTTGAACAAACAAACAGGAAAGGAACTCTGAGGCCAAACCAACTTCCTCTCTTCAGAAATTCCCAGCCTTTCCACCCATACTGCTTAATTGGAAACACAGTCATTTTCCCCCACTGCAGTGGTGGTTACAAGGGGTTTGGGGTTTCTGGGTGCTCTAAACACAAGAGACTTCTATTTCTGGTGAGTATCACCTGGCAGAGCAACTTGGTATCCCAGACCCTTCAAGAGAGTTCTCACTGAGCAAAGCTAAATCACAAGAGAATGGAGGCTGTTTCCCTGACACGAGCCAAAAGTTCCCTGTCCCCAGCAGGCCTTCTGAAGCTGTTCTGCACACAGGCCAGGGAACAGACTGGGTTTCAAAATTGGTCCCACTTTGACTGTTTGACGGGACTCCCACAAGGTGATTCTGGCCTGGACACCCCCACACTAAGAAGGTGTGACCCCCGGGGCTGGCTGCCCCACTTCTCTTGCTTCCATTTCTGTGGCTTTATTTCACACCTGGAAGTTCCTATACTTTGAACAAAGTTCACCTCCACTCTGCCTCAACCACACTTAGGCAGAGACATACCTTGGAACCAATCTGTAGTTGATCATCCTTGGACTTAAAACTTGATCTTAGAAGTTTCTCTTCCTCCTCCCAGCCTCCCATATGCCTTACTCACTCTTCCTTAAGCTGCTCTTTGTCCTGACCTTAGCCATCCTCGTCCTCAGTCCGTTCCTGTTCACGTAGGCCATGTCACCCCTCCTTCCTTCCTACCCAGCCCCCATACCCGCTTCTCAATTCTTCCATGGTCTCCCTATCAGATTCTCCCCCATGTGGGCCCACGCCATGCAGCTCCCAGCTCCTTCAAGTGCACACCCCACTTCCACAGTCTCTGCAGACCAGCCTGTCACCCCTCTATGACGATAACACAGATACATATTTCACTGCATTTGTCTTCAACTCAAGCTCCCTTTATTTTCTCCCATTTTTCTCCTTCTTCCCTCCTTGTGCTGAGGAAAAAAATTTCGCTCAACCCACTCTGTTTTCGTCTCCCCAAAATCTTTTGCCAACTATCATTCTTGTGTCCTCCACAAGGCTCTCCCTCTCAGTCTACAAGCATATCCCAGTCTTCCCCACTCTCAGAAAAGCCAGAACGAAGAACATTCCTCAGCCTTGCCACTCCCTGATCTACACCCTAGGCTTGCATTCTCAACTCCACCAAAAAAAAAAAATAATAATAATAAAATAACCCCTACATTCATTGTGCCCAACTTTTTCATTGTGCCCCACTCACTGCTTAACACTGAAGTCCAGTTACCCCCACCTGCTTGTCTCGTAAAACTGTTCTCATTGAAGTTTGCAATGCCCGAAGTACAAAAATCCAATGGGTTTTTCTCAGTCTCCAGTCTCCTGAATTTGTCTTTGCCACGTCATCCTGTGGCTCTCCCCTTCTATGCTAGGCACCCGGGATTCTGTGAGAATGGTGCTGGCTGTGGACTTATTCCTGCATTGCTATTATGTGGCAGGCACTGCGCTGAATAGTTACACTCTCTTTTACTTTAATCTTCAGGATGATCCAGGGAAGGAGCTATTATTTCCCCCATTTTATAAGAGAGGAAACAGGCTTGGAGAGATGATGTAACTTGTTTAAGCATACACAGTGTACGTAAGTGTAAACCCTTATTCATAGGACTCCTACGCCATGCTCTGAACCATCAAATAAGGGCGCCCCAAGTCAAGTTGCTACTTTGTCTTGGCTCCTCTGCTTCCTCACTGACCCCTCCTTCCAATTTCCACTCCCTCTCCTTCTGCCCCTAAGTGCAGAAGGTTTCTGTGTTTATTAATGGGCCCCTGGTCCCCTGGCTCAACACGTTGGAACTCTCTCCCTTGCCCTTCGTGTTCAACCAGGTGCCAAATCTTATTGATTCTAACAACACAGTATCTTTCTCCTATGTCCTCCTACTTTCCACCACCAACATCTCCTCAGGCATTCATAGGCCATAACCTGGACCATCTTTGAGGCCTCCTCTTATTTCCTGCACACCCTCTGCTTAGCCGACTGGTTTTCCCAACACATTCATTCTAAGGAACACCAAAGACAAAAGACAAAAATAAGTTGGAGATCCTCAATCTGAAATCAACAAAAGGCTTACTTGTGTTTAAGGTATATTGAAAATAATGTAAAAAAGAGTAGGACATTTTTTAACAAGCCAGTCTGGAAATCATCATTTTCTCACACACAAAAAAATGTAATTTTGACTCAAAATTGATTAGAGCTCAGCTACTTTGCAATTCTGCAAAGTTAGAGATTAGTTTGCAGAAAACTGATAAGTCAGATGAGTTTTTGGTTCCTGTCTGACATATAAGATAACATAACAGACATGGTTTAAGCAATTTTGTAACCAACTCAGCAATATTATCTCAACATTCCAGTTTCTCATAAATTTACGAAATTAGTCTGATGTCCTGTTGTTTCCCCCATTAATTAAATTTTGACAGATACTACCTACTCCTATGAGAATTATGATTTTAACAATTTGAGAATTATACTTTCATATTGGGCACCTATTCACAGGGACGTTCTCACCACCCAAACTGCCAGCCATAGGAAAGACCTGAAGAGTCTGCTCAGATATTACAAAGTATGGTGGAAGCCATTAGAAGCAATAGTATCTACTACTCAGTTGTCTCTGGTGTCTGCCAAAAGGTTCACATCTTCCCAAGACTGTGCCTGAGTGTTGGATATTTAAGAAACTTCTTAAACCTAAATGTTTTTATATAGACAATATATTGTCTTGAGTTACAATTTATATAAATTCACAGATATTAAGAGTATAGCACTATGGGTTTTTTTAGCATATACATAAACCTGTATAACTGACACCTCAATCAAGATATAGAACATTTCTGTTACCCCTGAAAGCTCCCCTATGCCCACCAATACTAGTTATGTCTTGCTAAATAACCCATTATCCCCCAAAACTTAGCAATGTAAAACAACAAGCTTTCTGTTTTATTATCTCACGTGGTTTCTGAGGGTCAGGAGTCTGGGAGTGGCTTAACTGGGTGGTTCTGGCTCAGCATCTATCCTAAGGCTTCAGTCAAGCCGGGGGCCAGGACCACAGTCTCTGGGGACTTGACTGGACCTGGAGGATGCACTTCTAAACTCACTCAGTTGTTGGCAAGAGGTTTGGGTCCTTACCATGTTGGCCTCTCCATAGGGATGTTCGTGACATGATCCAGAGTACTGGAGAGAATGAGAGAGAAGGAGGAAGATTGAGAGAGAGAGAGAGAGAGAATAGGAATATAAGGCTGAAGCTATGATGTCTGTAACCTAATCTCAGAAGAAGCATACCATGCCTTCACTTTTGCTTTATTCTATTACAGGCCAAGCCTGGTACCATGTGAGAGGGAATTATACAACATTGTGAATATTGGGGAGAAATCATCAAGGGCCATCTTGGAGGTTGGCTACCATATCACCTCAGGCAATTTCCACCACTCCCACCTCCTCGCCCTCTGATGGAAATCACTGTTCAGATTTCTGTCACCATAGATTCCACTTGCCTACTCTAGAACTTCATATAAGTAAAAACAAATATTCCGTACTCTTTTGTGCATGCCTTCTTTAACTTAGCATAAGGGTTCTGAGGTTCATCCATATTGCTATGGGTTTCAAGTAGTTCATGCTTATTTGCTGCTGAATAATAGTTCATTTTATGGATTTATATCAATTTGTTCATTTGTTCTCATGTTGACAGACTTTGAATTGTTTCTAATTCAGGGATACTGTGAAAAAAAGGCAGCTAAAAATATTCTTGTACAAGTCTATTTGTGAATATTTGTTCTCTTTTCTCTTGAACATATACCTAGAAATGGAACTGTGGGGTCATAAGGAACATACATCTATTTTGGATATATATATTTATTTTTCTGGATAAAAGAACTTTTTCAAATGTAAGTTTTTGTGAATATTTTTCCTGTTCTGTACCTTGCCTATTCATTTTCTTAACACTGTCTTCCAATATGAGCAGAAGTATATAGGTATGTATTTATTATTTGCTGGATCCAAATGGTTCTCTAAGAGTGGCCACAACTAAGCTGGATCTGTCCATGATTCCAGGTCTATGAACTGGATTCTGAAAGGGTACAGAGGAGGCCAAGTTGGCTGCCCCAATAAGGGATAAAGGTATTTTGCCAGCACCTTCCTGATCCCAGGCTCATTTGGCTAGGGTTTTACCATTCCTGGGAAAAGACCCAGAGATCCAAATACCTCCTGGAGACTCCGCAGGCAGGTAAAAGCTGTCAACACACCCCACCCATTCCCCTGTCAGGTGCTCCCCGGCTCATCCCACATTTGGGCCCTTAGCTTGGATGTGGGATACACCTGGACAAGGTTGACAGAGACGTTGCCGTACTCAGGGCATCCCAATGTGACATGAAAACAGGCACCGGGTTTAGAAGTGTGCCACATCCTCTTCCCTGTCTACTTAACTTGAACCTATACTTTAAGTTTGTTTTTACTGGGTTGGCGGTAAAATCAAATTCAATGAGTCCTCATTTTTTTTTTAATTTTATGGCTTTATTAAAATGTTCATCACAGAATTCTTTACAAAACCACCAGGTCCCCAAAAAGTCATTCAACAAATATCAAGACCTTCTACATACAGGATTTGGATCAAGAAAGGCAGATAATCCATGCTCCTGTTTCTTAATACGACTCCAAAGTATTTAAAATTCTGAAAGCTTCATTCACTTGTGAGTTCAGTAGTGCGGAAATTCTGATTTAGTATTGTGCCTGTAGTTCTGTCTCTTTGTTCACATGAACAAAAGCCTATCGTTCTCACTCTCTCTTAGGTACACACGGCTCACAGCGTTTAGATATATATTTATATCAAACAGTTCTGAGTTGCAAATAGATAAATATCTTAAGGAAACCAACCAGCATAGTAGTCAAAATTACAATACACGTAATCCATTAATTTTAAAGTCTAGACAAAGTTTGGGATCTTCCTCATGAAAGAAACGTACGCACTGTGCCCTTGACTGCGCCCCTGCAGATAGGACATCTTCGTAGAGACGGGGCGCAGTCTCTGCACACGACCAGGTGGCCACAAGGAATGAACACTATGGAACCTTCTTTGTCCATGCACACTTTACACGTCCTCTCTTCCTGCAGCCTCCTCAACTGCTCTTCCACTGGTAAATCTGAGACATTTTCCGGGGGGATATACTTTATGTCCTGTTGCACAAAGAAACGCTTGTATAACACGGGGTCCGTTTCTTGTAGAGAGTTTTTAAATATGGTGACCGCAAAGCTTCCCTTTACTAACACAGTATCAATCAGCTCTCTTGCTTGCAGAGACGTCCGTGCCTTCTGCTTAATCACACTGTGTTCTTGCTCACTAATCACTCCGGCAGTTAGCAGACTATCCAGGATTGGGAGCACTTAAGTCAAATGCTGGAAAAGCACCATTCTGTTCTTCTGGATCAATGATACGTCGTCTGATTCTCTGTTCTCAGCTGCTCTTTCTTTCTCCTCTTCCTTTATTTCGTCTTCCACGTGAAGTAAAATCAGACACAATATTGTTAACGGTTCTGTAATTCTCCCCAGTGGTCAGGATCTTACTCTGCACCGTCTGCCTCACCAGGCTTCTACTGAAGCCCATCTCCAAGGCGGCCTTCACCACGGGGGTGTTCATCATGACTGCGTCTTCTGAACGGTTTTCTTCAGGTGGACAATTGGTGATTCAACATTTTCATTTTCATCTTCTGTGTTGTCTGAAGTAGATAACAGCTGTTCAAGTAGATGAGGGTAACTGGCTTGAATCTGACTGATGAACTCTTGTCCTTTGATGCCTATCAAGTACTCACACCTTGGAATTTTTGATATTTGAACCTGTTTCCCGGCTTGAATCTTCTTATGGAAAGTTTTATTTTTCCCCTGTTGTTCTATTTGTCAATTATTAGACCAGTAACTTTCTATTTAATATATGTGTGTATTTGATAGGGAAAGATAAATTTTAGAGTCAAGTTTCTAGGTTTCATTTTGTAAAGTCTTCAGAATTTTGATTTGGTTTATGGATTGATTTAGTGATAATGGCTGTCTTTACAATGATGAGGGTCCTTTTCCAGATGCTTGGTATGCCATTCCATGTATTTAAGTCCTCTTCTGTGCTTTTTAGAAAAGTATTGCATGGAGCACTGGGTGTTATATGCAAAAAATGAATCTTGGAACACAACATCAAAAACTAATGATGTACTGTATGGTGACTAACAATAAAAAAGAAAAAAACCTAAAATTATAAAAAAAGTTTTACAGATTTAGAGATTTTAATCACAGAAGTCTTTCAGATCTCTTGCTCAAACATTTGTTATTTATTTATTTGATATTTATATTCCATTGTTATCAACATCTTTTTTGTTTACCCCCAAAGTCATTGTTTTTTTTTTAATGTGTTAAATTATGACTCAATACAGTTGTTGAAAATCATTCAAAATTGTACAATGAGTTGGAAGAAAGAAATGAAAGGACAGTACAAAAGATAGAAATGGAAGGTACCTTTTAAAATGTTTACAGTGAGTATGTGTAACCCATTTCAAAATTAAATTCCACAAAATTCACTTATTTTAAGTGTACAATCAAATGATTTTTCGTGAAGTTAGCAAGTTGTGCAACCACCATCATAATCCAGTTTTAGGACATCCCCACCACTGCAACAAGACAGTTGAAGGCCCACTTAGAGTGAACCACTCTTCCCATTCTTGGTGCCAGGCAAACACATCTGCATTCTGTCTCTGTAGATTGGCCTGCTGTAGACATTTCATGCAAGGGGAAACACACTCTGTGGTCTTTGTGTCTGACTTCCTCCACTTAGTAGGATGTTTGGGAGGCCCTCCCATGTTTACTGTGTATCAGAACTTCACTTGTTCTTACTGCTGAGTAGTATTCCATCATAGGGACAGACCACATTTTGTTTGCCATTCACCAGGTGATGGGCCACTGGGTTGTTTCCATTTTGAGTTATTATAAATAATGATGCTGTGTAAATATTCATGGGCAGAAGTTTTTCATTTTGATGAAGTTGAATACATATTTTTTCTTTCTAAGTTAAGGCTTTTAGCGTCCTTTTTGAGAGATCTTTTTTTACTCCAAGATTGTGAAGTGAATTTTTTTCTGTTTTCTTACAGGGGTATTGTATTTTTAATTTTTACCTTTAATCTCTAATCCATTTTAAATTAAGATTTTTATGTAATGTAAATATGAATCTAGGTAGATTTCTTTTTTTTTTTTAAAGATTTTATTTATTTATTTGAGACAGAGAGAATAAGAGAGAGAGAGAGCACATGAGGGGGGGAGGGTCAGAGGGAGAGGCAGGCTCCCTGCCGAGCAGGGAGCCCGATGTGATACTCGATCCAGGGACTCCAGGATCATGACCTGAGCCGAAGGCAGTCGCCCAACCAACTGAGCCACCCAGGCGCCCCTAGGTAGATTTCTTATAGAGATATGTAGCTCTTATATTCCTATTTCTTAAAACAATCTTTTTCTCAATAAAGTAATTTAAGGTCTTAGTCAAAACTATATACTTGTAGGCCTATTTCTGGACTCTCTATTTCATCATTCATTTGTTTGTCTATCTTTATGCTGGTATTACACAGTCTTGATTACCATAGCTTTATAGTGAGTGCTAAAATCAGGTATTATGAGTCTTCCAACTTTTTCTTCTTCAAAATTATTTTGGCTTATTTTAGGTTCCTTATGGTTTTATATAAGTTATAGAATCAGGTTGGCAATTTCTGCAAAAGAAAAAAAAAAATCTTCCAGAATTTTGATTGGAATTACATTGTATCAGTAGATCAGTTTGAAGGGAATTGACATTTTAGAATTATTTAGACTTTCAGCCCATAAACATGTTCTATATCTCTTCATTTATTTATATCTACTTTAATTTCTCTCACCAATGTTTTATAGTTTGAAATGTAGAGGTTTTACACATATTGTTAATCATATTCTTTAAAAAATTTTTATTTTCTAACTACTCGTTGTTGGTATAGAAAAACAAGTATTTCCATATATTGATCTTGCATCTTATGACCTTGTAAATTCACTTATTAGCCCTAGAAGCTTTTATGTTTTAGATTCCTTTGAGTGATTTTTTTTCGCATACAGACTTATTTCTTTGGGAAACAGAGATAATTTTATTTTTCCTTTCCAGTATTTATGTCTTTTATCTCTTGTCTTATTATACAGCCTAGGGCCTCTAGTATAATACTGAATAGAAATGGGAAGAGTAGGTATCTTGCTTGTTCTTAAGGAGAAAATATTCAGCTTTTTACCTTGAAGTATAAAGTTCGGGTTTGATTCCAGCTGACCCTTGAACAATGCAGGAGTTAGAGATAATACATTTACAGTACTATACTGTATTTATCACAAAAAAGTTATGTATAAATGGACCCAGGCAGGTCAATCCTATGTTGTTCAATGTTGTTCTTTTCCTGTCTTCCTTAAGATAGATGTTTAGGTCACTGATTTTAATCCTTTCCTCTCTTCTATTATAACTCATGAATATTATAAATCAGAGCTATGTATTTCTCTCTAAGCACTGCTTTAATTTTGTCACACAAATATATACATATAAACACACATACACATGTGCACACATTCTGTTCCCTGTATTGTCTAATTTCTCTTATAACTTTTTCTTTGACCCATTGATTATATAAAAGTGCATTATTTGATATCCAAATAATTTAGGAATTTTTCAGACACCTATTTGTTATTGAATTCCAATTTCATTCTCTCTTGGTCAGATAGTTCACTCTGTATGATTTTAATACTTTTAAAGTGTTGAGACTCGTTTTATGATGCAGAATATAGTTTATCATGGTGAATGGTCCATATGCACTTGAAAAGAATATTCTGTGGTTATTGGGTGAAGTGTTGTAAACATCAGTTAGTTTGGGTCAATCACTTGTGTTTACTGAGTTTTTTATATCATAAAGAGGTTGGGGGTGTTTTGGATCTGTTTTAAGGTTAAGAGTATATTCCTGAAAGAAAATCAAAGCAATTTCCAGCTATGATTGTGGATTTGGTGATTTTTCACTTCAGCTCTGGCAATTTTTATTTACTGTGTTCTGAAACTCTTTTATTGGGTGCATATGCTTTATAATTATTACTTTTTTGATGAATTGCTTTTTTTTAACATTATGAAATGTCTCTTTCTTTGGCAGTACTCCTTGTCCTAAAAATCTACATTGTCTGATATTAATATAGCCACTCCAGCTTTCTGATAGAGTGTACATGGCATACTTCCCACTTTCATTTTACTTGTGTCTTTTTACTGGCTATGTGCCTTGTAAACACCATATGCTTGGGCTTTGCTTTAATAATCCCGACTGATACTTTCTGTTTTTAATTGGGGGATTTAGTCCATTTACTTTCGTTTCTTTTAACTGCTCTAAAATCCTATGATTCTGTAGTATAATTTACTTTATCTTGAGTGGATTGGGATCCTACTCATTGGTAATATTAAGGATATCTTAGACACTCACATGTCTGTGTTGTATTTGCTTCATGCACACAGTGAACTGAATTCCCATTACTTTCCTCCCCTCTCCATAAACCTTTCTTTATCCCGTTACTAGCTTCATATTATTGAATCCACTGTGAATGTTTATTCAGGTCGTACTCAAAGTGATTAACTTTATCAGATAAAGATCTAGAATTTACAACATCCTTTAAATTTGTTTGTTTTTCCAATGTTTCCATAGCCAAATGCTTTGTTTTATACATTCTCATTACTCTGAAACATTATTTCAAAACAGATGTGGTAACTACATGGAATTATAAACGTTCCTAATTTGTTTCAAATATTTGCAGAATTGAATTACAGAAGATTAGTTTTGAATTTGTAAGTTCTATTTGCTGTGGAAGAAATCAAAAGCATTGTTAGCAGAGAGATTTTCTTCTTCAAGAGAGGCACTGTGTAAAATGATAAGTGCCACCATGACTTGACTTACTTAGTAAGTAGCCGAGTATTATCTGAATGACACCAGAAACTTGTATTATTAGTACTGGTATTATTTATTATTTATTACCCAGTCTAACAATTTCTGTCTTTAATTAGCAAAGTAAATATTTTAATGTAAATATTAATATTGGGTTTGTGTCTATCATTGTGCTGTTTGTTTCCTATTTATTATTCTTTATTCATCATTTTCTGGCATCCTTTGGATTAATTATTTTAATATTGCATTTTTTCCCCATTGGCTTATTATCTCAACCTGTTTATTTTTATTATTGCTACAGGTTCCTAGGATTTACAAGATGCATTTTAACTTTTCATAGTCTACCTTCCAGTAGTTCAGACCATGTAAATAAAATGAAAGAACATTAAAGTCATTAAAGCAATATGTTTTATCTCCCCCTTTAGGCTATTGTTGTGATATATATTACTTGTACACGTATTAAGGCCCTACAATACATGGTTAGTTACTTTTTACTTTAAACAGTAAATTATGTCTTTTTTTAAGATTTTATTTATTTATTTGAGAGAGAGTGAAAGAGAGAACACAGAGGGAGAGGGAGAGAGCTGAGCAGAGAGCCCAATGTGGGGCTCGATCCCAGGACCCTGAGATCACACCCCGAGCTGAAGGCAGACGCTTAATCCAGTGAGCCACCCAGGCACCTCTAAACAGTAAATTATGTCTTAAATCCACTATCAAACATATTCCCCACATATTTACCATGTTTTACTCTCTTCGTTCCCTCGTGTAATTTGTTTCCACCTGGGATCACATTCCTTTACCCTGAAGAACTGCCTTTAACCTGCCTTTTCACGAAGGTTTGTTGGTAATACATTTTCTCAGTTTTGCTTTGCATACAAATATTTTTTATTTCACCTTCCTTTTTTATTATTAACATATAATGTATTATTTGTTTCAGAGGTACAGGTCTGTGGTTCATCAGTCTTACACAATTCACAGCACTCACCACAACACATACCTTCCTTTTTAAAAGATATTTTCAATGGATATAAAATTCTGGGTTAAGTGGTTTTTTTTTTCTTTCAGCATTTTACAGATGTTGTTTCATTATTTTTGGCTTGCACTGTTTCTGACAACACAGCAATCATTTTTATCATTCTGCTATAGGTAATATATTTTCCTCCCCTCTGGCTTAAATTTTCTCTGTATCACTGGTTTTCAGCAATTTGATTATGCATGCCATTGCTTTGTATTTATTCTGTCTGTGGTTGGTGAACTTCTTAGAATTCTGGAATTTTTTTTTCATCCCAATTTTGAAATGTTCTCATGATTATTTCATTAAATATTTTTTGTATTTAAATCTCTTTCTTCCTTCTGAGACTTTTGATGTTGTGTTAGACTCTTATTGTCCCACAAGTCCCTGAATCTCTTTTCTTTCTTTTTTTCCACCTTTTCTTCCTTTTTCTATGCTATAGTCTCTGTTCCTATTACCCTGTCTTCAAGTTCCCTGATTTTTTTCTTCTGCATGATTCAATCTACTGTTAAGCCCACTGAAAGACTTTTTCATGGCAGGTATTGGTTTTTCGGGTTTTTTTTTTTTTTTTTTAGTTATAGGATTTCCATTGGGTTTTTTTTTTTTTTTAACCTTTTCATTGCCATTTCCTTCTTTAGATGTCCTATTTGGTCCTTACTATGGTCACATTTTTTTAAAGCTTGAAAGTAATTAAAATAGCTATTTTAAAAATCATTGTCTGCTAATTCCAGCATCTCTCTCATATTTGTTTCTATTTCTCTTGGTTTGGGGGTCACATTTTCCTGATTTTCTGAATGTTTTGTGATTTTTTTTATTTTATGTTGGATATTTGGGATGCTATGCTGTTTTGTGTCTGGATTTTGTTATTTTCCTTGAATTGTGACTATTGTTCTAGTAAGAAGTAATTTACTTGTGGATCCACTTGATCCTTTGAAAGCTTATTATAAAGCTTCTTTGGGTGGGTCTAGATTAGCCTTTACCCATGGTGGACTAGATCTACTTACTACTCAGTTTCAGCAAGGTCTCTCCACTTTGGCTTGGCTGATAAAAACTTAAATATCTCCTACCTCTCACAGAGATTTGGATCTCATTTTTAGCTCACAGCTTCAATAGATGTTCTTTGTTCAAACTGTGTGTGTGTGCAGCTTCGTATTTAGCCAAATCCCCAAAAGGACTTCTGGTGCTTCTCTGTATAGTTCCCTTTTCTCTGGTATTCTTTCCCCATCAAGACATCTCCAAAAGACATCTCCAAACTCAGATCACTGTCTTATCAACTAAGGATGACCACAGTAATGCTTGTGCTCCCTGCCCTGCACTACAGTTCAGAAAGTGCCTGCAAGCAAAAATCTCAGGCAATGTGGGAGTTACCTAAATAGCTTTCCTTCTTTCAAGGTATACAGTGCCTGCCGTCCAAAGTCTGGATGAATTTTTAATAAGCATTGTCCATTCCTCTAGTTATTTGTGGTAAGAAGGCTAGTCCAACACCAGATGCTCTGTCATGGTACTGAAAAATCAATTTTGATTACAGCAGTCTCCTGCTCAAAATCTTTTAGTAGATCAACCACTATTTACAGAATAAACTCAAAATTCCTTAGCCTGAAGATCAGATTCAATCTACTTTATTTCCCACTGCTGTTCTTAAAATATTTTCTACCAAGAAAAATCTCATGTGTTCAGCCTAGTTTTTAGAATCAGTCTTTGGTTCAAACCCTGCCTGAGGTTTGGTTCTCTGATCTATAAAATAGGAGTGGTGAAGAATAAATACCATAGTTGATATAAAGCACGTAGCATGGTGTCTGTCTTACAATAGATGCTCAACCATCAGAGGTAGTGATGTACGTATCCTAGTTATGCATCTCTCCCCAAGCAGACTGTAATTTCCTGAAGAACAGACTTATTACTTCATCTCTTTACCCTCCCCATAACCTAAAGCTGTGCCATAAACCATAAGGGTTAAAAATGTTGACCTTGTAACTAAACCCCCAAGGTTTGTTCATTCATCCTCCCAAGTGTATACTCAGTGTTACATGAATTAAAAACCGAAGATCCATGCAAAGCAGCAAGAATACTCCTGGGAGCAGAAACAGACATGGTCTGTTGACATGTTGAGCTGACAGTCTAATGCAGGAAACAGAAACTAATGCGATATTTACCAAAAACAAAAACAAACAACCACAACAAAATATGTAAAATGTATCCATGCTTCTTGCTTGGATATATTTTACATCTCATTGTCATTTACCCGCTCAAAATCATTCAGTGGCTTCCTATTACCTTCCAAATAAAGTGCAAACTCTCTGACAGTGGGAACTGTCATGCCAAGAGGAATGGGGGTCAGTGAAAGCATGCAATGAGGAAATGTGACCTAGAGTTGTGCAGCCAAGGGAGGTCTCCCTGAGGAAGCATGACTGCTGTGTGACCTGCAGCATGAATGGCCCTTTTCAGGGAAGAGGCGGGGGAAGAGTAGAGCAGGCAAAGGAAATGGAGCAGAGCACCATGGCAGGAAGGAGGGTGGGGGACACAGAGAACTGAAATCAGAGGACAAAGGTTGTGTGTGTGCTACAAGATGAGGGTGGAGACGCCTGCTCAATCCTTGAGGTCACATTAGGAATTTCCATCTTTAGAGGCACCTGGGTGACTCAGTTAAGTGGCTGACTCTTGATTCTGGCTCAGGTCACAATCTTGGGGTCCTGGGATTGAGCCCTGTGTCGGGCTTTGCGCTCAGCAGGGAGTCTGCTTGAGGATTCTCTCTCCCTCTCCCACCCCTCCCACTTGTGCACTCAACGTGCTCTCTCTCTTTCTCTAAAATAAATAAATAAATCTTAAAAAATACAAAAGAATTTCCATCTTTAGCCTAAGAGCAGTGGGACCCGACTGAACAGTTTTAAGTAGGGAGATTACTCTGGCTCTGCAGTGTCAAGAACAAAGTAGCAATGTGCAGACATAGATGGGATATATCAGTGTTTCAGTTGCTATTCCTGCTCAACAAATTACCCCTAAATTTCTCAGCCTTTTTTTTATGGAAGTATAGTTGACACTCACTATTACATAAGTTTCAGTGCACAGCATAGGGATTGGACAAGTCTGTATATTGGGCTACGCTCACCACATCTGACACCATACAATGCTGTTATCATGATGCCATTGACTATATTCCCTTTGCTGTACCTTTCATCTCCTAGAACAATCTTTGATTATGCTGATTGATTTAGTGCTTCTGCAACTTGTACAGTTGGGGTGGAGGTGGGAGATGGAGAGAGCAGAAGGCAGAGGGAGAACAGGCATTACTTGCCACTGTTCCATGATGCTTAGGACCTTTGCTGGGAAGACTAAAAACTGGGAGTGAAGGGTCTGGAATCATCTAAATGACTTGATCGCTCACTTGTCTAGGCTTTGGCTGAGATAGTGCAAAAAATAGAACTGCCAACCAAAATGCCTACATGTGGCCCCCTCCACGTGGCTTGACTTCCTGAGAGCATGGTGATCTGAGCATCTCAGGGCTCCAATATGAGCATTCTAGCAAGCAAGATAAAGCTGCCTGCCTTTAATGACCCAACTCTAAAGTAACACAGGGCTACTTTAATGAGACTTTATTGGTCAGGGCAGTCCCAAGTGCAGCCAATTTCAAGGGCACAGAACATAAAACTTCATTTGTCAATGTGAGATACATCAAAGAACTTCAGAGCAATGTTTAAAATAGCAAAATTAGTAATAAAGTCATCTCAATAGAGATAGTGATAGAGGAGGGTAGCTTAAACCAATGTGGTGGTAGCAGAGGGGGAGAAAAGTACTGAAGAAGTTACATTAGCAGGACTTGGTGATAGAATGGATATGAGGAGAAAGCAGAGGCTTCCAGATTGCATAGCAGAACGGACAGTGCTCCCACTCCTAAGCTGTGGAACAGAGGTAGAAGACTGGAGCATGCACAGTCTGGCTTGAGAGGAAGATAACTTGAATTTGGTTTTGGAAATGCTGAGTTGAGAGGGACTTTTGAGACGTTCAAATGAAAGTCAAGTAACCAGCTAAGTGTATGGACTCAACAGAGATACTGGGACTGACTATGGGGAGTTGTTACTATTTCATTGGTCATTGAAATCACAGATGCAGGTGGGATCAGAGAGGGAATATAAAGTGAGAAGTGAAGAGGGACAAGCATAAATCTTCGAGCAACTTTGACAACAGCCAGGGAGAGGAGACAGAAGAGCAGTTTTGGAGTTAATAGAAAACAAAGAGTAGCTTGCACATCAAAATCCCAGAAAAGAGAGGAATTAAGCAAAGGAAAGTGGTCAACATTGTCAAATGCTGATGAGAGGCTAGATGAGAAGAGGTCTGAGGATCTAGTGCAGGGAGGTGATTATTATTGATCGTGAGATTTGTTCCATCGCAGAAAATGGGAAGAAGCTTGTCTGAAATGGAGGTGGAAAGAGACCCAAGAGTTTCATTCTACAATCACCGATGACCTCAGTGTGGTCAAATCCAGTAAATGATTTTGCCACTGTTGGCACTTTTAATCACTCTGCCTCTATAATCGCTGAAGGCACCTCTTTGGTTACATTTTTTATTTCTCAGCAAACGTATACTCCTCAGAAAACCCTCTACTGTGTTTCATTTAGCTGTCTTCCTCTACCCGCCACTTACCTGCGGGCATCCTCCTGACTCAGTCCCGGCCCCATATCCACTTTCCCCGCGTCGGCTCTCTCCCTCACAGCCTCACTTACCTCGAGGTTGCACACCTGCCTGCAAGATGGCAGCCTAGACGCACATCTCTATCCCAGGTGTTTCTTCCTATGCCCAAGCTTTTCTTTCTGGCTGTTTCCAAGGCAAAATGCAGAGGAGTCTGTTGCTGAAGCAAACAATGTCCCATACCTGAAGTTAAAGTAGTCTTATATACTTTTCTTGCCAAAGGCTCTTCTCTGTTTCTAGTTCCCTACATCGCAAATTCTGACATCAGCTTCTGCTTTTTGCTACTTCCTGGCTTCCTGCACTCATCTCTGCCTTTTTGCCTCTCATGAGCACACACAGTCAGGGTAGTCTCCTGCATTGGCTTCGCTTCCCATGAATCGCCATCTTCACAGCAGTAAGCCAGATCCAGGGTTACACGTGTGTGGCTCTAGGACGCACACATCAGGCTCCCTGATAAGAGTGGCTCAAAGTCATCTTCTTGAGGTGTCACTCTCCTGTGATGCGATTGGCTCATTAAAATAGAAAGGGGAAGACTATGGAAAACTACGAATGACTGAAAGATTCCAACTTGTCCACTCTGATCCTTTGGCATGGTTCCCTGGAGTGTTATGTTAAAAAAAAATTCTGAATCTCCATCCAGATTCTTGCAGGAATTCTGAGGTTGATTGGTGCTATTTGCTATTTTGTTATTTGTCTTGCTCTTTGTTACAGGGTAGAATTAATGGCCCCAATTGCAGGTCAAACGCAATCCTCGGTAAGAACATTGGATGAAACAGAAGTAGGCCTATATTTTAATCTCAGTAAAAGTATTAGGATATTCCATAACAATTCCAAAAATTCTATGACATGTGACTTACTAATAATGTTTGTTAGAAGCTGATATGGTTCAACTTTTGTTCTTTTGCTTCTTTTATGTTATTAGTTTGTCTCCTTTATGCAGGTACAGTTATCTCTTAGAGACCTGTTTGTTACAAAGAGCTCTTAAAAGGAATGCCTGACCCAGAACATTTTAAACTATGGATCAATTAAGACCCACCAACACCTCCTCAGGTCGTGACAAGTTGCCCTAGCATTTTGCCTTTGCGTTAAACAATATGGAGATGTAGTATCTGTCAAAAGAAGTGGGCCACTTTGAGAAAACACACCCTTGGGGATCCAGCAACTCTCTTTATAGCTCCTAACACTTTCAGCAGGTGATCATGTTCACGTGCAAAACGGGCAAGACCAGGATGTGGGTACCACCATCAGACAATTCTGAGACAGTTGCTTATGGCGATTGTCGTATTTGTAATATCACTGTGAATGCAACATGGATGCTACAGCATGGTGACATTACAGACCTAGATTTGGTTATAAAAACATTCCACATAGGGCGCCTGGGTGGCTCAGTTGCTTAAGCGACTGCCTTCGGCTTAGGTCATGATCCTGGAGTCCCGGGATCGAGTCCCGCATCGGGCTCCCTGCTCGGCAGGGAGTCTGCTTCTCCCTCTGACCCTCCTCCCTCTCATGCTCTCTGTCTCTCATTCTCTCTGTCTCAAATAAATAAATAAAATCTTTAAAAAAAAAAACATTCCACATAAATTTTTAAAGATTTATAGTTAAGGTTAATGATACTGCTGTGCCTTCGCTCATTGTACGAGGATTAACTCAATCGTTGTTGCAATGGCTACTTGGGAAAAAACATGTGGTATTAATGAAACCATATGGTAACCTCTTGGTTTGACCCACCGGCCATTGGTGGTGGAATAATTTACCAATGGAAACTTTCAACAGACTATCCAAAGTATTATGTGAAGTATTATGTGAAGACTATATCCAGTGCATGTTGTGATTGTAGGTGCCGTACAGAAAATAAACATGCTTTTTCAAACAAAACAAAAATCCTTTGTCATTTACTGGATAGAACCATTCAACGATTGTTTTCCTCTGACAGGAAGACCTCAAGAAGAGTTACCTGTTCTGCTTCCACATGTTAATAAAAGCCAACACGTAGGAGCACTTGCTAGAGGGCAGACACTTCGCTGAGCACTTTATAGCTATTATATGTTTTTTTCAAACCAGCCCTAGGAGGTAGGCTCTGCAGGCACTTTATAGGATGATGAATCTGAAACAGAGAAGGTTAAAAAATTTTCCCCAAGTCAAAAAGCTAGTAAAAACTGGAGCTGGGAAACAAACCCAGGCAGCCTGCTCCCAAGCTTCATGTAACCATTTAAACACACCACTTCAAAAGAGTCACGAGGATCCAGTGGCTGTCACAGATTGTCTCAGTTAAACACTGAAGGTAAGTAGAACCAGACTGAAACCAAAGGTTGAAGATGACACAGTGGAGGCAGATGTTTGGGTAAGAAAGTAAAGAGGGGCCTTCAGAATTGCATTCCTTCTGTTTGAAGAGGGTTGAGATATGTGTAAAAAGTAGCCATGGTCAGGTGTGACAGGAACAAAGGGATAGTTTAAGGACAGAAGTGAACCAGAGGCTTCTGGAATGTTCTGGAACATTTTTTTCCAGGTTTATTGAGATATAATTAACATGTAACATTGTGTAAGTTTAGGGTGCACAACATGCTGATTTGATCCACATATCTGTTGCTCAATGATTACCACAATAAGGTTACCACAATAACACATCCATCACCTCACATAATGACCTTCTTTTGTGTGTGTATAGTGAGAACAACTGAAATTTACTTTCTTAGCCACTTTCAATTATACACTACAGTATTTTGAAAAGGTTTCATATATTTATTTATTTGAGAGAGAGAGAGAGTGAGCAGGGGGAGGGACAGAAGGAGAGGGAGAAAGAATCTCCAGCAGACTCCACACTGAGCACAGAGCCCAATGTGGGGTTTGATCCCACGACCCTGAGATCATGACCTGAGCTGAAACCAAGAGTTGGATGCTTAACCGACTGAGCCACCCAAGAGCCCCTACAATACAGTATTTTTAACTATGTCACCATGTGGTACATTAGTTGCCCAGAACTTATTCATCTTATATCTGAAAGTTTGTGCCCTTTGACTATAATCTCCCCACTTCCCCCAGACTCTGGAAACTACCATTCTAGTCTCTGCTTCTATGTGTTCAACATTTTTAGATTCTATCTATAAGTGATATCAAACAGTATTTATCTTTGTTTGATTTGTTTCACTAAGTGTAATGTCTCAAGATCCATCCATGTTGTCACAAATAGGAGCATTTCCTTCTTTTTGTGGCTGAAATAGATTCTATTGTATGTATATATACATACACATACCACATGTTCTTTATCCATTCATCCATAGATGGACCCTTAGGTTGTTTCCATCTCTTGGCTATTGTGAGTAATGCTGAAATGAATATGAGGGTGCAGGTATCTTATTGGGGGTGGTGATTTCATTTCCTTTAAATATATACCCAGATGTGGGATTGTGGGATCATATGAAAGATCATATGTGGGATCATATCTGTTTTTAACTTTTTGAGGAGCCTCCATATTATTTTCCATGGTGGCTGCACCAATTTACATTCCCACCAACAGTGCATGAGGGCTCCCTTTCCTCCGCATCCTCAGCAACACCTGTTCTCTCTTGTCTCTGTGATAATAGATACTCTTCCGGGTGTAAGGTGATATCTCATTGTGGTTTTGATTTGCATTTCCTTGACGATTAGTGATACTGAGCATGTTTTTATGTACCTATTGGCCATTCGTATGTCTTCTTCAGAAAAAAAAAATTCTGTTCAGGTCCTCTGACCATTTTTAATTCAATTGCTTTTTTTTTTTTTTTTTTTTTTTGCTATTTCTCTTCCCTAACAAGGAGGATCTGAAAATCTCTGTCCCTGAGCACAGTGAGCATGCCAGTGGGAGCAACTCCTTGTGTATGCACCTGTCAGGCTGAAATCCTACAGGACCACACCCCTCACTGCACCTGCAGAATGGAGAGAAGCCTGACCTTCTCGGGTCTCCCCTTCAGATGAACCCTCGATGGCACCAGTGGCCAAGGAGTCTGAGCCTCACTTCATTGCTGACTTTCTCCTTCTCCCATGTTAGATTCTAGTCCTCAGATATCTATGAATCACTAACCCAGATGCCCGCTTGAAGAAAATAAAACATCAAACAGAAGTTTTGAAACTGTTCATCTCTTCTGCAGGTCGGATTCTTTGTGATTTAAATCAGGTGCTGATTGAACTTGAGGTTGCCCTCTACACCTTTGACCAGTGATATTGGACTCCTCAGACCACTTTTGGGGGGTTTTTTTGTTTTATTTTTTAAAATATTTATTAATTTATTCGAGAGAGAGAGCAAATGTGTGAGCAGGAGGGGCTGAGGGAGAGGGAGAGAATCTCAAGCAGACTCCCCACTGAGTGTGGAGCCCAACGTGAGGCTCCATCTCACGATCCTGAGATCATGACCTGAGATGCAACCAATAGCTGGATGCTTCACCAACTGAGCCACCCAGCCACTCCCCTTCAGACCACCTTTGGAGTCATTCCCTGATATCATGGTTCTGGCTCAACCCTGTGCTCTTTCTTAATGGGGTTTCCAGGATACTAATCTTCTCTGGGTTTTATCATTGATGAATACGTACAAAACATCTGCTATGGATTAAGATATACAGTCAACGTTAACAGTAAATCTGGATTAGAGAGAAAAAAAAAGCAGAGCCTCTTACCTCAACACGAGACTTGGAACCATAAGACTCTGATTTACCTTCATAACTCCATGGGTAAGGTAAGCCTGTGTCTTCTATATAAAAAGAAGGAGAGAATTAAGGACAAGAAGGAGGGGACAGAGGGAGATAAAGAGTCACCCACCCTGATAGAATTTCAGGTCCATCCTTTCAATAAGGTGCTCCTTGAAAGTTAGACCCCAGTCTCATCAGTAACAAAAGCCCTTTAAGAGAAACATGAAGAAGGGAGGATAAGGCAACTTCTAACATTCCCCTGTTATTAGTTCTCTTGACTCCTCAGGCTTAGCAATCAAGCGTGTGA